TGCTCTACTTTGCCAGTCCCAGGTAGGCCGAGAATAAAGTGGGTTTTTTATGATGCTTTTGGAATAGCATTCTTTTGTAGGACTAGTCTGCCAATCAAAGGGACCAATTGATGAAGTGGCACTAACAAGCAAGGAAGCCTAAGTTGTTGCTGAGCTTTTGTCCTGGAACTTTACTCTCAATACAGCTCATAGTTTTCTTAAAACAAGCCTCATATTAGCAAAAAAATTGCCTATTCATTTTTGCCATGATTATATGGATCTTCACTTGCCTACAGAATGGCTCTGGTCTAACGTGCAGAAACAATGTGATTTTTGGACATAGAGTTGACTTAAAGTATTTTAATCAATTTAGCCAACAATAGCAGCCTTCAAATCGTCAGAATTTTTAGTTTTTATCTTTGCCTAAACGTATGATAACGACTTAGCTCATAGATCTTTTACACATGGTCTGATGCTATTGATAATTTGTGATGAATTTCGTTTGATGGTGAAATTCTTGATGAAGATGCTTGCGGCTTGATCCCACCAGAAAAGGGCGTCAGATTCCTTTTGTCTGAGGTCGTTTGATTTTATTACATCTAAGACTACGTGTAGAAAAGAGCTATTATCATTTGTCAGACATTCTCCAAGATGTATATACTTCTTATAACTTCTTTAAGCTGATATAAAGTCATGGTGCATATTCTCTAAGCAACAAAGATGAATTGAATACTATGAGATACATGATGAAATAGTTACTTCCTTTTCATATCAGCTTAAGTAAGTGTATGTTTGTGTGTATGTGTTGGTATATAGATAGGAAAGAAGGACATCACTGCAATTATATTAGCATGAGAGAGTGCCTAATTGAGTTAATAATAATAAAAATATTGTGTGACGAATGTGAATGTAGTTTGAATCATTCTCAAGCAGTTTAGTTTAGTCGCTTTCCTTTTACATGCAGCCTTACAATCTTTCTATATTTAAGTCTATCGGTCTAGCAGCAAAAAGTCCTGACCAACTTCTTATCCAAATTCCTTACATTCAACTTATGCCCTAATTTGTTAACTTGGATAGCATCTCTCATTTTGCCTTTAACAGCAGACTTACGATAACCTTCAAACCGATGAGGTTGAGACCATTCTGTCTCATATCCGCTTTCTACCGTATGCCCAGCCACTTCTGACCTTTGGATCCAGCCTTTTTGTATCACCGTCGTCTTCTGGCGGGCTCGAGCAACGAATCTCTTCATCAGGCAATTTTATACGAAATGCAAGTAACCACAACGGTGTTATCTCAGGAGATTCATCGAAACCAGTTAACACTTAGTTTAAATAATAACAATTTGTTTCGCAGCTGTCAGCAGGTGCACCAGTTCTGACGTGTTTCTGTTGGGTTAATAACCGGTCGTCCCATGATAAATTAAAAGGGAAGATTGAAGGTTGCTCTGAACTTCGTTACGTCTTTTGGGTAGAGTGAAGTTTCGACCTTGCATTGGTCAAGTCAGTGCCACTGGCAGGATTCAAGTCATGGTTTTGAAGATCTTGAGGTAATCAAGTTATACTTTCGGCCAGAAAGGTCTAGTCCCATTAAGCGACACGACAAGGTTGTATTTCAGGGCAGAGCATGATTCTATCACTTTCTATCTTTTTTTACAAATTTGTGGCAACAAGCAATTTCTCGGTAGCTATTAGACCTGGTAATCTTATGATTTTGAATATATTATCAGTTTATTTGCATTGGCAAATAAGTAACTTCTGGGTTTTGAATACTTCATTATTAAAGTAATGTAGCTCATCTATTCATTTTGAAGTAAACATCAATTGGAAGGGACTGACCTCATCAGAAACCCACTAAGTAGCTTGTTCTCTCATATTGTTTGAAGCTGTCTTTGGTCCATCCATTTTAACTTTTTTTTGCCTCGCCATCAGAAACCGCTGCTCATGAAAAAAGCAAAAATACGCTGAACAAGAAAGATGACTACTCACTTCTTATACTTTATTTTTCCATCTAATTGAGACATGCCATAATTCGGTTGGCTTCTTTATCCTTGCCCTACATGCTTGCAGATGAGTTAACTTGTTGCATGAAGAGGGCGCGCATGCGGTCATAGTTGTTGCATTGGTGTTATACGAGTTTAGCCCTGCAATGCTGACCCTTGTTTAGATGTGTTTTGTATGTAAATTGTTTGTGTCACTGTCCATGAGTCATATGAAATGTTGGAACCCTAATCAGACTCGAGGTCATTCAAACCTCCGCATCTTGTTCAGCAGTTCTCCTTGATCTCCTCGTCTCCTAATTTCTACTCCATTTATAACCCTAATTTCTCCTATTTAATAGATTGGCTGCTCTGCTTATTTCTGTACTCTCCCTAAACTTACGCTGGGATGTGGGGTCCTCATAAACTGTAAAGCGTTGTACTTTAGAGGTACAGGAAGCAGAGATTCGTTGGTTGATCTCACTTGAAAAAGAACAGCCAATTCCAGTAGCTTTACAACCGTTGAATTTACTACTACGTTCACGATGGCGCAGTCCACGAGACAGCCTCCTTCGTCTTGTCAGAAACCGGGATGAGCTTTCTTCCATCACATCATGGACGTTATGAGAGCTGGACCTCATTCGTATAAAAGTCTCAATTTAATACTAGGTCATCATTAGGCTAACATTAGATCAAGAAGTTCTTGTGCTAACTTAAGGCTTTGGTAAGAATGAATTCCAACTCTAATATTGCCCAGCATATGAGGAACAAAAACTCAGCCTGGTTTCGCCCGAGACTAGGGGAGATGTCTCGTGGACCGCATCAACATAAACCAGAATCGGGCGTTTCCTTTAGATGAGGTCAACCAACGAATCCTTTTATCAGACACTAATGTATGAAATAAAAGTCTCCACAACTATACAATCATAGGGGATTAGTCGGAGCTCATCTTCTCTTCGTATTTACATTTTATTTGTAGTCCTGTAGCAGTCATATGTTCAGTCAATTTAGATTTTTGGACCATTTACCGTAAAAAGCGGTTTCATGTTCAGATAACCTCTTATGAAGGAGTGTATGAATGCAAAACCTTAAATGTGGGCTCAAAATTCTTTAAAAGAAGACAAGACTTTTTGAGAATGCCAAAAGGACGGCAGTACCAGGACCTAATTTCATAGATCTAGTTGCCTGTCTCGTCCTAAATTACTGTTTTATTCGCATTATATTAATATTCAATTCTATTGCCAAGTAGTTGCCTATTAATCCTGGCTTATAACGGTTTAAAATTAAAGTACACCCCAATCTTCCTATTTGATGGTCCCTCAAGTGTAAGTATGATAGACTTCTTATTTTTAGTGATTTCATAAACCTTACTTTAACCATACATGCATAAATAAAAATTATTTATGAATGAAATCCAGATGTGCGCTTTTCCAAAACTCATTTCTACACAGCCTAGCTCATTCTCCATTCATCAAAGCATCGATAAATGTTAATTTATCGTAAATTCTTCTAACTCCATGGTAAATTTAGTAATCCCATTTAGTCTTTTTCTTTCTTATCTGTGTCGTCATGTTGCAGGGGTCGTTCGCATGTCCAACCAATAAATAAGGAAAAAATGAGTACTTTTATAAGCAAATGGACGTCCAATTAATTCGAGTAGTTATTAGCGATATTTGAAGCTAAACACTACCCCACAACCAAACCTGATTGTTTGCTCATATAACTTATCATCGAAGGTAAAATGTATATTTTTCGTATACAAACAGAGTTTCGAGATATTATCTCATGTAAAATAGATGCTCTTCAGTAATAAACTGGTCACCAAGGTATTTGGCACAATCCGCTGAGGCCTACTTACGATTACCTTTTAACCACCTCTTCCGTTTATCTGAAAATTCAAGTCACATTGTTTCATTTTGATGTCAATACTTGGCATACCAGCTTCATTTCGTCCGGATAAATATCAGTGAGCTTTTTACCTGAGTTTTTTTTCTAAATAAACTTGTTTGTAAGGAATTCGTGACCTGGTACCACCCTAAATAGGGCATTGCCTTGGAGGGATAATGATTCCGTGGTTGAAGAACGGTGATCAAAATACTTGTTCGTATAATCCGACAGTCTTCACTCTTCTAAAGCAATTCTTCTTCGGGTTATGGTTTGAACAATTTACGAATGCCCTTAAGGTAAAAGGTCATATCAAAATAGATCAATCACTAAGGAATTCTCCGGAGGCGAAGTCTTTTAATATATACTCTGTTACCGTTCGTTAGCCCCTTCCAAAATATATGGCATATTTCAGTTCGACTTGTTCTATTCTTCAAATATGAGTATTATAGAATTTGTGGATCAGTGAAATGTGTTGACCGAAGCTTCATATTCTTCCTTTTCCATTCGACTCCCATTCTCCTGCGCCCTCTTTGCAGGCGGCCATTTTTCCACATAACCTTGGCGATCGCCTTATTGCGCCCGGCCTCCCGTTTTCTGGCGACCCTGCTGTCGAGATATACGATGGCCGGTCAACAGTCCCCCTGCCTCTGACCAGTCATCCAGCCGATATAGCCCAGCTTGCTATTCACAACCAGCAACACCAGAGCATTCCACAAAGCCAACTTCAGACATCCCAAAACACGCAGGCCATGAGCACCGCCTTTCCGCACACCTCGCACTCATACGCGCATCCTCATTCAAACCAACATGCGCCAAAACATGTACACCACCACCTCCCCCATGCAAATTCATATTCACAGTCCTTTGTACACCAATCACATCCCGCTCGGCCTGTGCTTCCTGGCCACGGGAATCCTGGGAATCCGACCAACCTCACACTTTCCGACTCGCCTTGCTCATGCTCTTCATATTCTTCATCCTCTGTACTTTCCTCGTCTGCCACCTCCATGCCCAAATCACCTCCTGTCTTCTTCTCCTCGGCGCCCAGTTCAAGTAACACGGCCAACTCGTCACCAGCTGTTTCTTC